CCCTTTGGGCAACCTGTGCCTGGGTTTCACCACCCTCACAGGGATGGATTTCTTCCCATTATCCCATCTATCCCTGCACTCTGGCATTGGGAAGTCATTCCTCCTTGTCCTGTTCCTCCAAGCCCTTGTAAAATTTTCTTCTAGGCTCCCTTCAGGTACTGAAAGGCTGCAATTAGGCTACCCCTAAAATGATCAACATTGTAAAATAACAAGAATTATTTATCATTATAAACAAATCTTCTGACGATTTAGATTCAGCTTAGTGTTTATGGGAGCCAGTGGGGATGAGGGAGTGGGTGTGAGGAGATAAAATGGCTGATTAAGCTCACAAAAACACCACATTCATTTTATGAACGGTAAATTTTAACTTCTGGTAACACTTTTCACACTCGTTGGCAGATCCAAGAGCACAACCTTAGCCCAAAGTCCATTCCCTCCTGAGATAATGGCATTAATTGGATCACTTATCTACAAAACTCTCTGTGCTCTCAAAGAATAAGGCTCTTGATCATGCAGAGAGAAGAGGAAAAAGGACATCCATGCCCTCCATTCTTTTTTCAAAAACTTGTCAACTTCTAAACACTTCCTGCACAAACAGGAGCAGGAGTGCTCAAAGCTCCTGAAAAATCCATGTTACCTGAATTGTTGGATTTGTTGTGCTGGGGGGGTTTATGTTGAGGGAGGGGGGAAATCTGCTGCAGCCCTTCCTCATGCACTGGAAGGCCCCACAGCTGTGTGGGTGGAAGATGCTCAGCCTTGCTCACTGCTCCCCAGTGATTCAGAAGGCCATGAATTCCACTTCCTCTGTGGGTGATTTCAGGAATGATAGGGGTGGCTTGAACTCTGATCCAAACAGATATTTAAATTCCGTTGGAGAACAGATAATTCAATAATCGCTCTCTTTTTCTATCTATTTATTAAAAATAGTGCACTTCCAAACACTGCTGAAGATCTGGGCTTAGATTTAAGTGGGTGGCAGATATTCCATAATGAATTCTGTACACTTCTACAATTTCATGGAATTTATAGAAACGCCCACAGTGGTTGGCAATTTGCAAATGTTTTAGTTACTTAAAGATCTGTAATAGCAGGAAGTGTTCCATTAATGAGAATTAAACTGTACCTCCATATCCAAACATTTCACTTCTAAAAACACCACGTTCATAAACTGTGTAAAAGCTTATTTCTGTTGGAATGGAAGTGTATTTCTGAGGAATTATGATAGACAAAAAGGATGAGAGCAAAAACGATGATCTGTAAGGTCCCTTCCAACCCAAACCATCCTGTGATTCTAGGCAGAAAATGGAAAGTACCATGTTCAGGAATGCAAATAGACAAAACCCACGTAAGAAATCCACTGACTTGTTACTGAAGCTGCAGCAGGATTAGGGATCTCCAACCCAAAAGGATTCTTCACTTGTCTCATCCGCTTTTTCAATACCCTTGTGCTGGATTCTGTCTCTTCTGAGTTCCTCAGAATAACAGGAACACCCAAACCAAACCTAGGAGACACAAAAGTGAGTTCAGTGTTAGTGCTGACACATTTGATTTTTTTTTGGCAGCTCTAAATAGCAAGCAGCAGGACAAAGAGAGGTAGCTTGGCTTTCCAGAGTATCTGCTAAGATGTATGGATAATATATCGTGACATTTCGACTTCAGCTTTTTGTCAGAAGGCAGGAGTCTGCACAGTGATGCAGGGAATCTTTAAAGGGGGAATATTTTGCTCTGGGTTTCCACAAAGGGAATAAAATTGATGAGAATTGTCAGTGCCCTCTAGTGGTGAAGGGTTAGGCCAGAATTTCCTCCCATTGATTCCCGCAGCATTCCAGCCTCCTCCCGCGAGCAGGGACCCTTTGCACCAGCCCAGGCTGCTTCAAGCCCCATCCAACGTGGCCTTGAACAATTCCAGGGATGAGGCAGCCACAGCTTCTCTGGGCAGTCTGTGTCATGGCCCCGTCACGGCAAAGAATTCCATCCCAATATCCAACCTCAAGCTGCTCTCTGTCTGCTTAAAGCCATTTCTTTCACGGAAACATTTGCAATCTGTCAGTGGCATCATGGAAGGCTCTTGGCCATGCTTGATTTGAGCACACAGAGGGTCAGCTCTCTCTGCTACAAGGGCAAACACCCACAGTGACTTCCCAGGGGCTGTAGGGGACTATCCCAGTTAAACATCTCACAAAGAAACCACAGGCAGCAGCTGTTTCCCTTCTTCAATACCCAAACCTTAACAGAGCTGATCCCTGCAGTCCTGTTTTATAGCAGAATCTGCCCGATTTTGACAGAAAATCCCTGTTCCTTGGAAACTTTTTTCACTGGATGAAAACAGCAGGATTATTCTCATGAAAAGTGGCAAGACAAAAGAGCCTCTGGTACAGTTTTAGCAGCAGCTGAAGGCACAGAAGCCTTTCTGTTCCACATCAGGCGTGGTTTTCTGTAAATTTTAAGTGTAGGAAAGATGAATAAAGATATAGTTTTTACTTTATGATCTAACAGTCCAGATCATTAGCTGGTAGAGGAGAACATTAATTTCTTCAGAGAACATTAGCTTAGAAAAAGCAGGAATTTCCAAAGGTTTAGTTAAGGAATTCATGTTTCTGCAGAGACAGACTTCCAACAGGTGCTGAGCCTTCAGCTCCACCTAACAGGAGCATTCCCCTCCAGCTAAAAATACAATGCCCAGGTAATCAGGTGATCTAAATTCCACTTCATCCCTGTGCCCAGGGCACCTGTGGGACTGGCTCTGGAAGCTGCCTGTGCATTAACCTACTTGGACTGTGAGCAGAGCCACAGGTATGTAGAGCTAGCCACAGGAACAGATGCTCCTCCCACCACTGCAGGGATTGACAAATGAGAACATGAACATTCCTGAACAGTTGGTGTTTTCCAGGCTGACTGACACCAACACAAACACATCATTAAACAAATTAATGCTGAAAATTATGGGGGAGCCCAAATGCCACAGCAGCAATAGATCAGGTATTCTGTGCTCCAGTGACAACACTTGCATTTACAGTGCTCTGCGTGGCAAATGAAGGATTTGAGATTTCCTGAGCAAGTTCAGGAGCACTTCAGCTGTAACTACAGCTGCAGGCACAGGAAAATCCCTTGGAGGCTCCTGGTCATGGCCATGGCACAGGAGAATTCCAAGGGAGCAGCAAATTCCTCTGAGCAGCTGGCCACACATTCACCTGGTTGTATGTGCAGAGCTCCTGGCTATGGCTCCTCCTTGATTAACAGGCCCTTAATACTCCAGTTTGAAGAAGAAAATGCACATATTTCCATAAACTGAAATAACACCTAGTGCAGGTGCAACTGGAATCTCTGATCCCGAAAAAAAAAAGCCTTTGGACAGTCCTCTGTACACCCTGTACTCAAAAGACATCAGTGAATACATATCAGGATCTCGTAGCACACATCTATTTCAGACCTCTTTGAGCAGGGGATTGCTAGAATTTACTACAAGTAGATAAATAATGATTAAATTGGCAAAAGGATCAGTGGTTAGGGATAGACATGATGAAGATTCATCTAAATCATGGTTCAGTATGATCTTTTTTTAAAAGATACCTTTATCACCAGCACTTTGCAGATATTAATGTGGAACCAATGAGAAGAATTTCAACAACTCCACACCAGCCCACACCAGTTTGGTGTAGCCACAATTTCTACATGAAAGATTTTGATTGCCAATCAGTGCTCAGCTCTTGGCAAGTACCAATATTTACATTTACAGCCACACCTGAGAGTTAGGGACATTCAAGGAGCTGTTTCTGAGAGAGGCAACAGCAGCACTTTTGCGTCATCCTCTCAAACGCAAGCAGACCTTTCACTCACCACCCCTCGAGACACTTCAGGAGATCATTTCACAGATTCACAGACTCATGTACGTTGGAAAAGACCCTGCTTGCACCCAGGGAGTTGTGGAGAGCCACAATGTCCCCCGAGCCTCCTCTTCTCCAGGCTGAGCTCCCCCACAGATGCCTCAGCTGCTCCTGGCGGTCCAGACCCTTCCCAGCTCCATTCCCTTGCCTCGACACACACAGTATTATGAATGAAATTACGAAAAACACTTCGGTATTACTACAAGAGAAACGAGCTTAACAGAGATACGTATAATTTATTTCTAAAATTATTTTTATTGCTCGTTTAGACGGCTAGGAGTGTTTGGGTTGGAAGGCACCGTTCCAAGCCCCTACCGTGGGCCTGGCCTGCTCCCCCTCAGCACAGCCCAGGCCCCCGAGCCCCACCGGCCCCCCAAGCACTGACCAGCCCAGGACGAGCGCGCTGGTGACGAGGAAGCAGACGGACACCAGGGCGATGTAAAACAGCGGCGAATACTCGTACAGCGTAACCAGGAACACAGCGGCCATCGGGCTGGCCGCGCCGCCCTCAGCCTGCGGCTGAAGCCGCTGCCCTCAGCGTGCCAGGGCTGGGGTGGAGCCATGGCGGCACCGAGTGAAGGAGCTGCCCTCAGCCTGACAGGGACGGGGTGGAGCCATGGCGGCATCGAGTGAAGGCGCTGCCCTCAGCCTGACAGGGACGGGGTGGAGCCATGGCGGCACCGAGTGAAGCCGCTGCCCTCAGCGTGCCAGGGCTGGGGTGGAGCCATGGCGGTACCAAGAGAAGCCGCTGCCCTCAGCGTGCCAGGGCTGGGGTGGAGCCATGGCGGCACCGAGTGAAGGCGCTGCCCTCAGCTTGACAGGGCTGGGGTGGAGCCATGGCGGCACAGCAAGAAGGAGCTGCCCTCAGCTTGACACAGCCGGGGTGGAGCCATGGCCGCACAAAATGAAGACACTGCCCTCAGCCTGACACAGTCGGGGTGGAGCCATGGCGGCACAGAAAGAAGGAGATGCCCTCATTCAGCCTTCCACGGACGGGGTGGAGCCATGGCGGCACAGAGTGAAGGCGCTGCCCTCAGCGTACCAGGGACGAGGTGGAGCCACGGCAGCCGCAGGATTCCAGGGTTGGCACAGACACACGAAACGCCACAAATGAAATAATATGTCGATATTCAACTTTATTTAAATAAATGACAAAAATCAAAGTATCATTTGTATCCATGTGCTTAGAACAATATCGATAGTTTCTATAAATTCCTACATTTAGAGCCATTATACATTCTGTGACATCTGTTACATGGAATATGCCATATATAATTTATAAAATACAAGTTAAAATATACTCTTATGTATTATTGTTAAATTTTACCATATTATATAGCATATACATATACATATTTAATATAATGTACATATGAAATACATATATTTTATATAACATACTGCTACGTAATGTGTTTTTGCAATACAAATAACATGTGTAATTCCTGACTAATAAATTTATATTCCCCTTCAGCAAAACTCTAGTATAACATTTCTTCTAGCTTTTACCTATTATAATTGAATATTATTACAAATAATACCAGGTAATATATTGTACAACCGTATTATTAAATAAAAAAGTTAGCTAGATATAATAAATATATATTGCTATTTATAAACTTTTCCCCTGTAGAAATCCAGGCTCATCAATCTGGCTCAATCCTCCTTCAAACACCTCTGGTCCAGGAGCAAGTGCAATGTTACAGCAGGGAAATCATTAATAGATGCAGTTAATATAGAATAATATATTAATATAACAATGAAGAGATAGAGGGAAGGGGGGCAGGGTCTGGCAGGAGCCCTGAGCCTCTGCCCCGGCACAGGCTGTGCTCGGCAGCAAGCGCAGCTCTGTGGGCTGGCTGCTCACAAAGATGTGTGGCTCGCCTTGGCCAGCCCAAAGAGCATCCTGCTCACCTTCCTATTCATTCAAAACAGCCTGGCTATTTTCTTTTTTACAGTTTTCATGGTCCTCCACATTTCTTTCAAGTCATTGTATCTCCTCTTGAACCGAAGCCTTCTCTGCTTGATTTCCATCTTCCTCCTTCTTGCCTCTTCTTCAGCTCGCTGGGCCGCCACTCTCTGCTTCATGGCCACCCTTCTGCGCCTGAACCAGAACAACAAAGACAGGAACAGCAGTTCAGCAGCAACCCAGAAGGGCCCCTGCTGCATGGCTGCCATGTGCAGGGGTCCGCAGCCAGGCTCAGGTGGCTCTGGGGTAGCCTGCTCCAGGTCCTCTTCGCTCTGCTGTGCATCCTCATCAAAACCGTTCACTATGGGCCGTGGGAAGTGGAAGAGGAGCAGCACAACCAGGGCAAGGGCTGATTTGGACACCATGGTCTGCAGGAGAAGAGAGACAAAGGTTTCAGTGGGGCTGCCAAGGGAGTTTGTGATGGCTGAAGTGAATCCTGGAGGCACAGGGATGTGAGGCAGGAAGCAGAGGGCCCCAGACAGCTGGCAGGCAGCAGGACCTGTCCCAGTGGGCCAGCAGCAGCCCCGTGCCCTGGCCAAGGCGTTGGCACAAGGGGCCGGCCCTGGATGCAGGGGGACAATGCAGGTCTGGGTGTGGCGCTTGTGCCCTGGCCCAGCCCAGCCCAGCCCCGCCACGTGTGCATTCACTGCTTGCCCAGGCTGTGCTGGGCCAGCGTCACCTGCGGGGGCCTCTTCCAGCTGCCCCCATTGTGACACGCTCCCCCTGATGTCACACGTGCCAGAGGCATCACAGCTGGGCCAGCCTCGCCCTTGGTCCCCAGCCCAGCTTAGGGGCTCCGAGTGGGCCCAAATGAAAGCCCCGGCACCCACCAAGTGCAGCCCCTGTGGGAGGGAATGGGCCCAGGGGCTCCCTTCACAAAGCAGGCAGAAGCCCCCCAAACTCTTGTCAAGGAGAAACAAACATCATCAATCCTGCTGATTATAATCAATAGTGTTATCTATGAAAGCACCAGAGATTCTGTTGGGATGGCACTGGTTTTTCTACAACTGGAGTGGGTGAGGGTCGCTTTGTTTTACCTGCTCGACTCTTCCTAGATCCAGCCCCTCTAAGATCTCATGCAAATCTTCCCATTATTGGACACCTGCAGGCAACAATTTCCCTGTGGGCAACTCCCTCTGCCAACAGAGTGTCTCCTGCATGTCCAACAAGCTGAGATTTGCAGTTCCAAGGCCCTGGGCAGTGTCTGGGATGAACAGAATCTTCATTGTGTCCCCAGTGAACACACGCAGGTGACAACAGCAGTGCTTCTTGCCTGCTCCCTGCCCAGCCAGGCCTTCCAGCCCAGGTGAAATGCCCAGCGTGGCCTTTGAGTACAAAGGGATTGCAGAGCAAAAAGCATCTCTGTAGCCGCCGTGCTCTTCAGCAGCTGCTGCACCAATGAGGCCACTGAGAGGAGGCCACTGCTGCTCTTGTCAGAGCGCTGCTGTGCAGGGATGTCCTGCCGCGCTCCGTCCCCACTCAGCTGCAGATGACCACTGACCAGCCCTGGCTGGCTCCACCAGGGGTGGACGGGCAGCAAGAGGCACTCCCCGCTAGACCCTTGCAGGCTTGAGGGAGTGCCTCTGTGGGTTCAAAGGCTGCTGATCCCGGCGGCAATGAGGAGGCGACTCTCTCTTGGGTATAAATCCCAGTTTATTCGGGCTCTGAGGGAAACCCCCAAAAGCCAACCAAACCAAAACAGGGGTGCAGCAAATCAGTAACCTTTATCAGGAGGGAGGGGAAACCCAACCGGCCAATAAGGGAAGGTAAAGGTGCGGCTCTCTCGGGGATAGACATTTGGGGTAACCAGTTAGGGAGAGACAGGGGAGGGACCCCAGGTCCTCGTCCCATCACCCGACGCCCTTTGTGGAAGCTTCCAGATAGATGGGATGGGATGCCGAGTGACGGACAAGGCACCTGGGAGGGGACAGGGGAATGACTAAGCAGTTTTGGGATTGATAGACACATGAGGGAAGGTGGGAAAACTCAGGGAGAAACCAAAGGCAATATGGGGGGTAAATGGGAACGAACGTTACAGAATGAGAATACAATAAAACATAAAAACACAACTCCACAATGTCCATTGCCTTGCTGAGTCCCACATCTGCCCATCTTTTTTCTGTGGTCTGAGGTCAGGTGGATGCCATCTGCTCCCAATAGACCCAGCTGCTCCAAGGTAGATGCACAGACATGGAATCAAAAACCTTGAGTATCCCCTGAATAGCCAGGTATTCAGCTGTTCCGTTTGTGTTTTCCTTCCCAAGACCCTGACCCCTTTGCCTGCAAGATTAGTGGAGATTAGAGTGGTGGAGGGAGCACAGCACATTCTCCCCTGAGCTGTTCCCTCATGCATGAGCCCTTTCCACACAGATGCAGAACTTCCTACCAGGTATGTGCCCTGCAGTGTCCACCTTCCAGAAGGAATGTGTACCCCGGCAGATGATTCAGGGGGATGAGCACACGGTACACAACATCCTCCCCACATGGACTCCAACCTTGGAAGGCACTGCCAACCCCGACGGCTTTGTTCGGCAGAAGACAGAAACTGTTCGACAAGCCGAGTCCAAATACACATGTCAAGTTGTCCATCAGGTCAATTATCATGGCCCAGGCTCTGTCCAAGTGCAGAACAGGCCACTTCATGTGCTTTTCTAAAAGCCTTCTGAGCTTACTTTCAACATGAGAGTCATCTTCATCTTCTTAGTTTGCATCATCACTGCCTTCCTTTCCTTCCTTTCCAACATCATCTTCTTCATTTGAAACAATTCTGCCACTTCCTTCTTCATTTCCAATATTGTTCATTCCTCCACATTCACATAATACTTTACTTCTTCACTTCCATTCTCATTGCTTTCTTTTCCTATTTCCAGCATCATTTTCTTTGTTTGCATCAAAATTGCTACTGCCTTCTTCATTTCCAGCAATGTTGTTTTCCTCTACATCTGCATCATCACCTTTCACTTCTTCCTTTGCAACAACATTGTCTTATTTCTTCCTCCTCCTCTTCCTCCAAGCTGCTGCTAGACCTCTCCTCCTGGCCACTGCTGCCTGTGGTGTGTTGGGTGCAAGAAGAACTGGCACGATCGAGATTTTGGAGCAGTAGGGTGTTAATGCTCCAAGATATCCAGCAGGAAATCCCTCCTGAGCCACCATGGCAGGGGTGTATATATTTTATAATAAAAAAATATAAATTCCCTAAATACAGTGTTAATAGATGTAGCTACCTATATACAGTTAAATACAAGTGCAGTTAATTTATACACAATTCATATATACTATATATACACAATACAGTAAACACTGATATATACAGTCATCAATCAGCTCTGTGCCTCAGGATCCCTCCTGAGCCACCATGGCAGGGGTGTTGAGGAGGTGCATCACACCCATTTTCAAGGTGTAGAGGGGAAAAGCCTACACCCAGCAGAATGTGGGTGAGGAGCTCCTGCATTTATGATGCCAGCTGTGCTGCTGGGCCCTCCCATCCACGTGCCTGAAGACTCTGTCTCTGCCACAGCGTTGACTCAGGACACATTGTGCTTGGCATGTGTCAGAGACTGAAATGTTATCTCTGATGACTTAAACTTCACTGGCCATTTTCTTCTGCATTACTTTCACTGTCCTCCACTTTTCCTTCATCTTCTTGGAGCTCTTCTTTGCTCATTTTCCAACCTGTGCCTCAAAGCCTCTTTTTCAGCTCTTCTGGCTACTGCTCTCTGACTCACAGCTGCTCTTCTGTGCCTGAACCCCAGCCCCAAAGGCAGGTGCAGCAGTTCAGCAACAGCCCAGAAGGGGCTGCCCCAAGGCAGATGTGAGCTGAGGTCCCCAGCCAGGATCATGGTGCCTGGCTGCAGATCTTCCAGATGCTGCTGCCACACATCCTTATCCAATCTTTATATAACATTTTTGCCTAATATTGCAAAACTGTATATACAACACAAAGATTTATATATACATATAAAAACTTTACATGTATAACGAAGCTGGTAAAAGATAGATGTGGTGTGCCCTGGACCTGTGTCCCACCGGGAACAACACAGTGGAGTTGGTTAACAGGAGCCTGGATAGCTGTAGTATGTTGCTCCACCGAGACGGGATGACTCACAGGCTGCTTTATTTCTCAGACAGCTTTATTGTAGGAAAGGCGAAGCAGGGTGAAGGGAGACAGCCACTCGAGAAGGGATCAGGCTCTGAGAGCCCCGTCCTGAGAGCGGGCTAAGGTATATAACGGGGTGAGGCTAGGAGGGTCAGGATACATACGAACCAATGGGGGAGAAGCTCAGGGGAGGAGCAGGGGAAGACTGACAAGGAATGCACCAATGGGGACAAGGGGTAGGAGTGGTTAACAGGAGGGAACCAATAGGGATACAAAGAACAGGAAACATTCTAGAACAGAGGGATAGTACCACTAATGATTGACATGAACAAGGGAAGGCATAACAAATGACTGACAGGCGGGGAGGCGGGAAATCATACAGTGGTGGTCTCCCAGGGCATCCCGGGGCAACTATCCCCAGGACCCCTTCCCACAGATAGATACAGGAAATTTATATACAGCTCATATATACACTATCATCAGGCAGCTCAGCTGTGCCTCAGCATCACTTTCAAGGGTTGCAGAACAGGAGATGTTTGAACCCATGTTGCAGCACAGTGTAATCATGGATGGCCTCTGCAGCCATGGCTTCACCCGACCAGCCGGCACAGTCGACTGTGAGGGACTGCATTCCTCAGGGAGGTTTGGGGAGTGGCTAGGGTTGCCACCAACCCTGGGACAGAGGAGAAGCAGTGGAGGAGGAATGAAGCTGACTCTTGGCTGGAGTTAATGTCCAAGGTTTATTACGGGGCTCCAGGGAGCTCTGCACCTCACGGGAACCAAGAGTGAAGAGCCCCGATGAGGACTGTGGAACAGTATATAAAGGGGGTGTAAACAGGGGAAAGTATCACCCACCAACCAATAGGGAAGCTTGGGGGAGTGCTAACTGGTGAAATAGACAGGTAGAGTATGCAATGGGGAAGGCTTAAAGGCGGGACCCCTGGTCCTCACCCAGTCACTCACCGCCTGTGTGGAAGTTTATAGATGGGTGGGATGGGGAGTCAAGCGATGGACAAGACACCAGGGAGGGGACAGGGGAATGATGTAAAGACGTTTATTTGTATTCCACGGACAGATTCAAGCGAGATCTCTTTGGTTGCTCTTGGGGGATGAGGCTTATTCAGGATGCATTGTGACCCTGCCTCGAGCTGCTAGACACAGCACGTGGCTGGGCCTCGGGTGATGGGGGAGGGGAGAGACAAAGAGGGGAGCAGGGACTCCCGGAGGACTCTCCAGGAGGAGAAGGGAAGATCCAAGAGAACGTCCAGCCCCCCGGAGAGCCTTTATCAAAGGGGGCTCCAGGGTGGGCTGGAACAGGACCTGCGCCAATGGGGTCACAGGCACCTGATGGTTCAGGGGAGGGTTACAGATGTGGGGTGAACCATACATTCTGGGGGGTGAGATGGAACAGTCCATTTGGCTTTTGGACCCCGCTGTAGGTGAGGGTGATTGTCCAGCCAGTAGGGGGCGTTATATTCGTCCTGGCTGTACCATTGTGGCTCTTAATCATATTTATCTACCCTTCCCAACATCTCCCCTGTTTTCACTGAACCATTTGAAATACTAAATATTGACTTAACAACTATTTTTTGCACACTTGGAGGTGTACAGGGTATTGTTACTAGAACTATACTTATTACTACTGAAACAGTCAAGCTTATTTTACAGAGTTCCTTTAGCTAATGTGCAAGGCTCAAACCATTAAGTAAATTGTATAGCTGAGATGGCCTTATTGTTATCAAATCACTGATTATAGTAGGGGAGGCATTGTCAGAATTTTTTGGAAAAGGTCTTATAATTAAACGGGTTGAAAAAGGTTTGTTAGGGTTTGTGTTAGATATATATGTGGTCTTAGAGCTTGCAGGCTTGGCTAAAGCTACTCGGCATTTGTCCTTGGTTGAATTACAAGTAAAACTTCAATACAAAAACTGAAACAGAAGAACAAAAACAACATGCACGCATTAAACGATAAAAAGTCCATTTTTCTCTCGATGACGCAGCGTGGTTCAGGTCTGGGTGCTGGCTTCTTGGCTTGTACTTGCAGAAGTACTGTCTGGTGTGGGGGTGTCAGCGGATTTCGGTGCATGGTAAGGTTTCACGTTCTTTCCTGGGACCCACTTAAGTCCTCCACCTGTGGAAACACAAGAAAAACCTTTTCCCCACGTTAGAAGACTGTGTGGACCTTGTATATGTCCTGAATCTAAGATTTTGAGTAAAGCTGGGGGGTGCCCTTTTATTTTTACTTTTTTGGTGTTCAGGAAATGTCTATAAATGGGGGGGCGAGGCTCTCCTGCAGAGCTACTTAGAAAATTGTGAGCATATAGAGCCTTATTCAACCTCTTTTGAGGTGTAGCCTGATCTACTCCCCCTTTCTTTAGATTTAAGATGCGTTTTAGGGTTTGGCGTGTTTTTTCTATGGTACTTTTTAACAGTGGTTCAAAATAGGAAAAGGAGATACCACTGTCCTTGAGTACTGTCAGGACTTCTTTCACCTCCTGAGAGGGGACAGCTGTTCGCTGGCTGAATACCACTTGCATGGCTTGGGGATGCAGACTGTCGTCTTTGCAGTTATCATATTTGATTTCAGGGAAGTTTGTCAGTTGAAGATTGTTAGCACTGTGCTGAGTATTTGGTGAGATGTGGATAGAAAGTTTAGGGTTTGCAGGGGTAAGATAGCTTTCTGTCTGTTCTTTGTTTGTAGAAGCTGCAGTCACATTGTTGCGTTCACCTTGTCGAGGCATGGTGTCTCCGTCAGGGTGCGGTGAGGAGGTGCTAGTGTGAGAGGCAGGGGCTGCTGCCAGCTGAGGCAGAGGAGCAGGAGGGGTGGAGATCATCGGCAGCAGCACCTGTGGGGGACTGCCATTTGCGGAAGGATTTCCTGTAGCTGTGGCTTTAGGTGCTGCGGCAGGCTGTAGATCCGGCGGAGGGAGGGATGCGGAGGGATATGGTGATGGGTTTGGGAAACCAGGAAGTGGTGCCGGCGGCGGGGGGTTAAGGGGCTCTGCAGCCAGAGGCAGGGGCTGCAGCGCCGCAGGGGGGTGGGGACGCCGGGTTTGCGTCTGCCGGGGGGGCCGGCCGCGAATCTAGGAGGCGGGCGGGCAGCGGGGGTACGGCGCTGGGTCCCGGGACATCTCTGGGAAGGACGGGCGGTGCGGCGGCCGCGGGGGCGGGGTCTGGGCCGCGCGGGAGGGAGGCGGCGGCTGCAGGGGCGGGGTCTGGGCCGCGCGGGAGGGAGGCGGCAGCTGCAGGGGCGGGGTCTGGGCCGCGTGAGAGGGAGGGCGTGGCCGCGGGAGTGGGAGCCGCCCGGCCCAGGGCCGGCGCCTGACCGGCGTGTTCGCCGGGCCAGGGGGCTTCCGGGCAGGTTGGTTGGGCGGCCGCGGAGGCGAGCGTGTGCAGCGCCTGCAAAATCGCAGCTGACTTTTGAGATTGTGCTTGCAAAATAGCCATTGATTGGGTTTGTGCTTGCAAAATGGCTGTTGCTTGATTTTGTAAAAGTTCGGCTATAGTAGCCATCATAGCCGGGACAGGCAATGCCGGGGGGGCGGGCGGGGGGGAGGCGGGGCCCGCGGAGTGGTTTGGGGGGCAGGAGGTGGCCGCAAGGGCGGGTTCTGGGTTGCGGGGGAGGGAGGGCGCGGCTGCGGCAGGGAGCGCCGCTCGCTCAGAAACCGGCGAGTCGCTAGCCGCTTCGCCGGCATTGTCACCGCAGCGCGGGGGGGGCGGGCGGTCCGGCGGGGATTGTTGGGCCACGTTAGGGAGCGGTTTGGCTGCTATCAGCGGCTTTTGAGAAGCGCAGAGCTCTGCTAACACTCTATAAGCAGGAAGCAATTCGCAAGCATATGGGTCCCGCCGTGAAATGTCATTAAAAAGTATATGTCCCACGGACTCCCAAAAGTCTCTACAAAACACAGCAGAGCGCTCGGCATATGGGAACTTAAGTAAGATCCATTGTAGGAGTTTCCGTAGCTCTTTTTTAGGCAAATTACTGTTATGGCTACGTAAGAAGTGGTTAAGTTGCCTTTAGAGATCTCGATCAGATGCAGAGTGGGATTGTCCCATTTTTAAACCAGTGTGGCTCACCTCGGTGTCGCAGGAGCAGGGTCCTCTGTCAGGTTCCGACGTTCACTGCAGTCGGTGCTGAGGACTTTCCACGGGGGCCTCCTCACTAGAGCTCCGGTTTCGGTCGTCACTTAGGGACAGCTTCCGGTGCTCGGGAGCTCCAAACCCCCCTCAGAGCTTCAGCGCGGGCAGTGCTAAGCAGTGCTCGCCTGTGCTCTGTGCACGTGGCCGCGTGCCACGGCAAGTCTCCTCACAAAGCCCTGGGTCGCCGCGGAATCGCGGCGATCTCTTGTGCTTGGAGAATAACGGCCAGAAATCCTAGAAGGACTCTAAAAACTCGCTACTATGTAACGAGTCGCGGAGCTGTAGGATGGCTTTGGGACTTTTTAAAGAGCTCCGGCTTCGTCACTGCCTAGCAGCAAAATGCCGTGCTCGCGACAGCGATGGCGAGGAAATACCTGGTTATTTAGTTAGTGTCCATGGAAAGGTGTCCTACAGGTAGAAAAGCTGGAAAGCATCCAGACAGGTGCAGTTGCAGGTCACCGTGGGTTCGTATTCGAAGATGGGCGCCAGTCTGTAAAGACGTTTATTTGTATTCCATGGACAGATTCAAGCGAGATCTCTGTGGTTGCTCTTGGGGGATGAAGTTTATTCAGGATGCATTGTGGCCCTGCCTCGAGCTGCTAGACACAGCACGTGGCTGGGCCTGAGGTGATGGGGGAGGGGAGAGACAAAGAGGGGAGCAGGGACTCCCGGAGGACGCTCCAGGAGGAGAGGGGAAGATCCAAGAGAGCGTCCAGCCCCCTGGAGAGCCTTTATCAAAGGGGGCTCCAGGGTGGGCTGGAACAGGACCTGGGCCAATGGGGTCACAGGCACCTGATGGTTCAGGGGAGGGTTACAGATGTGGGGTGAACCATACATTCTGGGGGGTGAGATGGAACAGTCCATTTGGCTTTTGGACCCCGCTGTAGGTGAGGGTGATTGTCCAGCCAGTAGGGGGCGTTATATTCGTCCTGGCTGTACTATTGTGGTTCTTAATCATATTTATCTACCCTTCCCAACAATTGGCATCAAAGGAGGCAGGGGTAACTTGAGGCAAACCATTGAGGGAAGGGAGGGTACAGGAATGAACCATTACAGAACCAGTACATAAAAACACACAAAAAAATTTAAAACAATTTATATACAGCCCATATGTACACTATCATCAGGCAGCTCAGCTGCCATCAGACAGCCCTGTGCCTCAGCACCTCTTTCAAGGGTTGCAGAAGAAGGAGATGCTTGAACCCATGTCACAGCCCAGTGTAACCATGGAAGGCCTCAGTGTAGGTACCCGGATCATGCACCAGGTGACAGAAAAGCCTTGGTGGTTCAACCACTGCAAAGTCTGGCCGCAAGCCGATCTCCACAGAAAGCCTCTTGTTGCCTACAACAAAGTGGTCAAGGTCTGTCTCCTCCAGGCAGCGGTGCAGGTGCTCCAAGATATCCAGCAGGACATCCCCCCCTGAGCCACCGTGGCAGGGGTGCTCAGGAGGTGCATCACAACCATCTTCAAGGTGTAGGTGGAAAAGCCTACACCCAGCAGAGTGCAACTGAGGAGCTCCTGCACTGGCAGTGCCAGCTGTGTTGATGGGCCTGCCCTGCCACATACCCAAAGAACTCTGTCTCTGCCACAGCATTGTCTCCGGACACATTGTGCTCAGCATGTGCCAGTGTCTAAAATGTTATATTGGATGATTTAAAATTAACTGGCCATTTCCCACTTCATTACTTTCATTGTCCTCTGTATTTCCTTTATCTCTTTGAATCACTTCTTTAAGTGAAGTCTTCTCTGCTCATTTTCCAACCTGTGCCTCAAAGCCTCTTTTTCAGCTCTTCTGGCCACTGCTCTCTGCCTCACAGATGCTCTTCTATGCCTAAACTGGAGTCCCAAAGGCAGAAGCAGCAGCTCAGCAACAGCCCAGAAGGGGCTGTCGCA